TACATATTGTACATATCTACATGTGATCATCTGATGAGGGGCAACTGCTGACGTGAGAGTCTCATTCCCGCCCTGTCCTGCCTCCCGCCTAGCTTGCTGGTCAGTGACGGGTACGCCCTGCAGTGCTGGACGCACGTACACACAGGAACCCACGCACCAGCATAGGATGGAGTCCTGTGTGCGAGGCCCGTGTGGAGCTCGCTGTCTGCACCCACAGAGGCCGCAAGCTCCCTGGAGGGAGGACGCCCCATTCCCCGTGTGTGTGGGGTCTCCCGCGTCCCCTTCCTGCCCCGGACGCAGGAGCACGGAGCGAGGCGGCCCAGGCTCGGGCTTCAAGGCTGTGTATGCTGCTGCTTGTCTCCCACATCCTGCCTGCCTTCAGGCTAGCTGCAATAATTCTTTTCTTCTGTAAAATATTTTGTAAACAACAACATACGAAGCTATTATCAAAGGGGGAAGAGCCGGCATCACGATCAGGAGCCCATTGCCACCACCACGCCCCACCGCCCCCGCTGCTGTCACGAAGTAGGTGCAAAAGACCTTTTTGTACAGAGATATATTTTTTATGAAGAATTTGTAAAATTATTACATATGCTGTAATTTTTTGATTAATGTAGGTAAATTGTTAAAAAATAAATGTTTTTACAATACAAAACTGTAATTTCCCAATAACGTAAAATGTACCATCTCTAGCTGATTTTCAGTTCCAATGCTATTACACATGTATTAATACTAAAGTGGCCTGTTAAAGGAACAGTATCTTTTTTGTCAAAAAAACTATAAAGAGAGTGTAACATAGCCTGTGCAATGCCACCTATCTTTAAAGCAAATCAGAGTTCTAATTAAATATTTAATTTTAGATTTCTACTCTTGTGTGGCCTTATTTCAGCTCTACTGTGCGCAGGTCTGTTGTCACAGGGGCGGGAAGGAGCACACTGTGTGAGGTGAGCTTGGCCGTGTGTAGGGTGAAGTCCCTGTTTTCCCGAGCCGTCTGCACCCATCCCGTCTTCAATGGCACAGGCCCACAACACAAAACATCCTGCAGAATTCTGCAGATTGCTTGCTGCTTTGCATTAAAAACTGACATCAGACCCCTGGCTCTACGATTCCTTTTGCATTTGGGAAGTCTTTCTGTAAACTTTCCCAACACTGAGGAATGGCAAAGAAGGAAGTCACAGCTGTGCCGACAGAGCACAGGCACAGCCATGGGAGAAGCTGCTCTAGGGGCAACTTACCCCCCACCTGGGCAGCTGCCAGCCCCCTGGCTAGCAAGGCCCAGGAACCAAACACCTTACAGAGAAACAGGGTGGAGCTATTAATTTCCCTGCTCCCTTAATTCTATTATTTCCCTGAGCTATTAATTTCCCTAATCGAGTCAGTACACCATAACGAACAGTAAAAACAGGTCCACGCTGACGTTAGAGGACGGAGCCCAGGCAGACTCTCCTATTCTTGTCCACCTGGGCCTGGCCTGTGCTCAGCGGCCCACAGCTGTCTCGGGCTGCTGTGTTCAGAGTGCTCCTCCGCTAGTGAGGCAGGATTCGCCATTTTTATCGATTAGATCAAGAAGCAGAAATTCAGAGAAGTTCATTATTTTACAGGCAGAAATGTAGAGCAAACTGACCTCAGAGGCCGGCTTCCTCTTGTCAGCATGAGGTTCTTCTTTTACAACAGAAATCACATTAATCCATTCATCAGTGTGGCCCCTTTGGGGAGCTAAACTTTTTCTGACTCTTTCTGTCCCTGTCCCTTTAAACCTTTTCCCCTTCTCACTTGGTAAGCACTGCAATTACTGAAAGCCGAGGATCCCAGGAGAAATAAATAGATTTTGCTTTAGTGCCCCCAGAATGTCCATGCACAACCCGCCCTGGAGAGTTGGGCAGATGAGGGTGACCTGCTGGTCCTTGACACACAAGGTAAGCACATGAAGACGGCGCCAGCCCTTCCAGAGAGTGGGCAGAGCTGACTGCTTTCCCCTGTCTGGAAGTTTTGTTGTGGGCAGAATGCTGCACAGCCTCTGAGCCTGCACCAGGCACACCAGCAGCATCACACGCTCTGGTGCTGAGCTTTTCAGGCACCCATAAGTTTGGCACAGACTCACGGTGGCCCCTGCTGGCCACGGAAGAGCCTCAGTGCAGTTTGCTCTGGGCAGTGGTTCTGTGTAGTGGCTCTGCATGGCTCTACGTGGCTCTGCGCGGTGAGAGGCATTTCCCGCATTACTGAGTCACTAGACACTGGATTCACCAAGCGTGCAAGGTGGTAAAAGCCACGTTGCACACAGCTTGGCTCAGCTGTGGTGTTTGAAGCCAGGATGGCTCCCTCTGAGTATCAGAGTTCCCAATGTCCCGGGGCTGCTGCACCCACCATCAGCTTGGTAGGGCCTCTGCCATGCGCCCCTCTCTGGGGACAGGGACAGGCGCTGCCTGTGTGGACCCATTCCAGCTCCTCTGCTGGGAGTCAGAGCCTGGCCAGGGGACAGCAGCACAGGGCATCTGCTCAGATTCCCCTGGGGCCCTCCCAGCCCATCCCGCAAAGCACCAAAGGTTACCACGCCCTGACCGTGTGGCGCATCTCCCTGGGATGTGACAGCTTTGCAGATGAATTCCTATTGATCTTACAGCTTTAAAGAAAATTTCTTGACAGAGTTAAACAGGATTAAACAAATTTGTACTTTAATTTGGGGAAATCTGGCATTTATTTCAGGAATGTGGTTGCCACTCATCAGATTCTAGTCTCCAAATCAGAAAAAGCCCATGGTTCTGCCAGCATCTTTGGTGCATCTGGAAGATTGAAGGCCAGAGCGGCACTGAGGAGTCAGCGTGGATCTGCCTGGCTGTGCTCCCCACTCCTGGGGTGAGAACTCTTCCCCTGACATCTCCCTCTTAGAGACCCCCATTGTTTAAAACCTGCCATGCACAATGAAGTAATTCACTGATTTGAGGAAAACCAGCCTGGCAGGAAGCAATTCCTCCTATTCGGGTTGGGGCCAAAGTCACCTGGAAATATCCCACTGTCATTGTCTGCAGCACTAGACCTGCACTGTTCACCCTGCGGGGCCACTAGGGGCTGGGGAAATGGGGGAGAACCAGCGTTGGGGGTGCTGTGGACAGCCCATAATGCATACCATTGTGAACACCAAGTCCGCTGCTCAGGCTAAGGTGCTGGGTGCTGCGGGCCAGAGTCTTGCTCTTCTGATTGGCAATCAGAGTATGGTCAGGCATGCTTGGGCAAATTGGTTTTGAAATAACACAGCACAAGTTTGCAGTGTGCCTACCAGCTGCAGGTGAATTGATAGCACTGCGAAAGTT